AAATTGTAATTTTGAGGCCATTCTCAACTGTCTGTGCTTTGTGGTAGCATAAGGACAGAAGGATGATGTGAAGAAAATGCAGAGGAGCCTTTCTGATAGTGGAGTGCTATTGTAGTGCTGCAAGCACTTGAATATGCACATACCTTCATCCGTATTCTGTGAGGGATGTTAGCATGTGTTTCAGCTGATTTGCTGCTGTATGTATACAGATGCAGACTGCTGTGTTTACAGTTCAAAGAGCAGGAGGAAACTAGATCTGTATGACCATGTAGAATCTCAAATGACGTAGCATGCTGTTGTATGTACATTTGCTTAAGGGGCAGCTAGGAATTTTTTCTAAAAAATCTTCTGACCTCTGAGCTTTTCTTCTAGCTCCCTGAACTCCTGTACTGTATGTTCCATTCAAGAATGACACAGGATGCATGAATTATATCTATTACTCCTTAATTCCAAATGGTGTTGAACCCTCTGGCCTTTGTTTGATGTAGCATTTGCCTGCTGAAAAAGGGAACAGTTGCAATGAAGTCATCTGGGACAATGTGGATGTTCACAGTTGAGGAGTCAAAGTGCCTTTTGGAATTGGAGCCTCTGTGCTTAGAACATGACAAGATCAAGGTCTTAGGAAGCATTGTTAGTATCTTAGAAGAATTGGAAAAGCTTTCCAACTTTATATGCTTCTTTCTTTCGCACAAGTTGTAGAAATAACTCCTGCCTTTTGTGCCCTCTTACTGTATAAAGTCTGATATGAAATAACTCATTTTCTGATGCCTCAGCCACTTCCATGGTTGATGTACTCTGTCCAGTTGACTCATCACTGTGTATGTTTTCTTGACTTCTAATTAAAATCTGTTCTATTCTAATATTAGACCAACACTCCTTGTTATATCACCCTTCATTCTTAAGTAATTCATCCTGCAACCTCCTTACTCTGTATGACTAATGTCTTTTTCTCAAATATTCTTAGAACGTTTTAAAATACCATCTGTATTATAAGCAGCACAGTAGCAATACCTCTCATTACAATTGCTTAACGCTTTCTGTCATAACTCAGTGCTTTCTTTTGCTTAGGATTTTGACAAGACTTTAACCTTTTTGGCTGGAATTTTCCATGCATTGTTTTTTGCCTCAGCCTGAAATTTCCACTTGAGACTGAATTTTTGTTTTGTTTTGTTTGTTTGCTGAAAACATAATCAGTATTTCATAGAGAAGACGTCTAAATCAGCTTCTGTTAGGTTCTCTCACAGAAAAGACAGATTTAATTTTTTTTTAAAAGGTGTGTTTGGCTGAAAATTAGGTATGATTGACCATTAGCAGGAGACTGAGCATGGGAAGGGGAATGCCTACCAAACAGGAGCAAGTCTAGGGAATGAATTTCTGCCAATCAGAAGTGAGAACGGAGTTGATAAGCACTGAGAAGGAACTGGTTGCTTACCTAATCTTCAGGCATTCAAGAAGTTCTTCCTATAAGTAAAAATGTAATTATCTGGCTTTAATTTTTTTAATGGGTGTTCTTCATGTTTGCCTACCAATAACCACCTGAAACTTGTTTCCCTTATAGTGGCAAAAAGGAAAAAGTTAATTACAATTATTTCTGTTTGTAAACAGAAACAGTTTATGTTCTCCTAAAGGCTCTGTTGGGTTTTGCATGTGTAAGTAATTCTGTGCTTGCTTGTCCAGTGAAAGAAAATCGAGTCTGTGGATGGAAGGTGTTTTGTTGTAGCTAAGCATTATTGCTGTCTGGTTTTAATCCTTCAAATATACTTGCATTCTTCAGTTCCACTGAATTTACTGAAATAACTTGCAATAATAGAGGTGAGCATACTTAAGAGCCTTTGTAAGGCTGAATAAAACCACTGGGATCATACTGTTTCCAGTTCTATTACTTCCATTTCAACTTGGTGTTACTGTTGAAATTTCAACATAGGGCCTCAAAAATTGATCCAGTAACAGAATTGCAGAGTGAACCTTAAGGAGACCAATACCCATGGTGTAGTAGAAAAAAAGGCCAAACTTGTATAGACGCTGGCACATGGAGAAGATACTAGATAGTGGAGAGAGGGGCTTTTTCCAGTCACTGGTAAAGATGCAATAAGCAGCTGATGGTAACTGTAGTTAGACAAATTAATCCTGTTGAAAAGGGGGATGGTTTCTGAAAGGTAAAAACAATTAAACATGGGGGCAGCAGCTTGGGGCAGATGATGGACTTGCTAGCCTTTAATTCTTAAAGGGAAATTACATATGCAGTTTAGCTTGACTTCAGAGTAGGTGGTCGTGGTGTTTTATTCTGATCTTGCAGTTGAGGAAGCTGTAGACCACTGCACTTCTCTCCACCTTTCACAGGCCCTTGGCAGAGGGGAACAGAATTGCTTGCTTTGCACAGAACTTGCTCTAGCAGCTTGTCATCAAGATGGTGATCGTGTCGGCTGCTCCCTGGTTTCTTCTGGTCACGGGCAGGGCAGGAAAATTATTTTCTTAGTGAGTAACTGGTCAGGTGTGTGTTGGGATTTTAGACTGCCTTCATCTGAATCCAGACACCAGCAGCAGACAAGACTTGAGACAAGGTGGAGCAGTACCCTGATGTGATGATGCAAAGGATCATTTTTGTTACGTGAGTGGCTGGTGTTTCTTGTTCATGTCTCGGTCCAGGCGGAGCATGAGATTTGGTTGGGGAAAGATTCCCCCCGCCTCCCTCCCCAAAAGTCAGACTTGAGAGGAACCTCTGCTGCTCCTGTGTACAGGACAGTGCTATAGACTCCATATGAGGATCTGGGTCTGTATTATTAAATACACTGCTTGCCTTTCCAGACGCCTTGCAGGTTGCTGATTTTTATTGCCTGTGGCACTTGATGCTTTTGGCTTCTGAGAGTTGAAATGCTTTAGTTAAATTATGGTCCTTGGGATCAATACAGCAATGTCTGGGTAGCGCTTGAGAGCCTATGGTATGTTAATGATCTAACTAGATGTTACAGAAATTCTTTCTGGCTTTGAATTTCGTAAAACTCAGCTTCAGTTCCTGTATTGATACAAAATAAAGCAGTCTGCCTGTCCTTTTCTAGTCCATTAATAGGGTTCTGGATAGGTGCAGTAACCTGGTCTGATGTAAAAGCCTGAAGCTTAGTCTACATTTAAATTTGCTATGTAACGTACTGATGTAGGAGACTTCTTGCAACATTTTTGTAGCTGCCCATGTTTTTAGCAGAGATCTATACAAATTGCAAAGTAAATATATTACCTCCAGAATAAGCATGTTTTTTAAACTGCAAACTGTTTTCCTAATCTCTGTAAGGTATACTGGTAGTTCTTTTAATGAAACTTGTTTTAATGCTTTAGTCTAAAAAAAAAAATGAAGCTACTATATTGAAAGACCTCACTTGTATCAAAAGTAGTATGTGACTGGTTTCAACTTTTTCCTGAACTGCTAGGAAGCTCCAAAGGAAGAAAGTATTTGTGCCCTTGAGAGAAGGGGACAACTAATTTCATCACTTAATTATTTCAGAGGAAGCATTATCAGTGAACTGAGAGAATACATCTGAAAAACTGTTGCAAGGATTGGAGTAAAAGATACCGCTGCTAGCAGATTTCCGAGGAAAATGCATGTACTTCTTGTCTGTTTAAATATACGAAGTTAGAGGTTTCCAGTTTATTTACATGATACGTTATCAGCTTAAACTCCACAAACCAGCAGTGCCCACCTGTGTCCCCTTCAAGACAGTTTAGCAGCACCCAAAGGAAAACAGAGATGTTTAGGTTTCCGAAGGTTTATGTTATGGCATGCGTTAAGAAAACAGTTGTCATCTTTGGGCGGTGTGACCGGTACCCCCGGCTCCTGACCCCTCTGTGGGATCTGTCTGTACTGACTGACAAGGGGAGAAGTGTGTGTGTTGAAGCTGACTTGCTTGACTTCTTCATATTTTCCTCAAATCCACATCATTTGAGTTATGACTTGGTGACTTGAGTTCAATTCTAGAGAGGAGTTTGAGGCTTGGCTGAAGTGTGTACGCAACTCAGGGTCATTGCAGGCTTCCTTCTGGGCTGGAATGCAGATTGCTGCTTCTAGTCAAAACCGAGTTGAGAACATACTGTTTATGCTCTGCGTATATAACTTTTTTTAATTGGAAGCCTCGAAGGGACAGCTTTTCATGACTTACCTGCAGAGATCTAGTTACTTCATTAAGAAAATAAGGCTATTGCTTAGTACGATTGTGTTGTTGTTGGTTGTTTTTTTTTTTTTTTAATATTGGGAATTGAAGGTAAAAAGAATTGCTTTATGGATGTTATCCATACTGGAGAATGGACTTTTGGGTGTCAGTCCCACAGCAGTGAACCTGGTATAATGTGTGGAGAGAAGGGTGATCGATATAGTGCTGATTTCATTTAAAGTTCTCTTTCTGTGGCCAATGTGTGATTCCTGTAAAGACAAACTGGTGCATTTCCAATGCTTAATGACAGCTGCGGTGGTGTTCCTGACTAACCAGTTGCTGTCCTGAGGGCTGTTACTCTGCTAACAGAAGTTGTGACAGAAGGTAACTTCTATCAGGTAAACATAAACTGTATGTTAAATACAGGATGTGATGGATGTCTTTATGGCAAAGACTGGGAATAGACAAGAATCTTTTATGTTTCAGAATAAGCTGTTTTGTGTATGCTTCTGTTAAGATAAAAATATGTCCTTTGTATAACCAAAGTGTATATAATGTATGCAGAATGTCCAGGTTATGCAGCTGTATTGACATGGTTTCATTTATAGCCCAGGCCATCCTACAGATGTTATTCTGCTAAAAAACAGGTTAATGAAGTTTGAGTAACTGCATAGAAGTACATCATAATATGTCTTTAGCTAGTTTTAGTATTTTTTCTTCTGCTCCCAAAAGTAAGTTTTCACTAGGTTTTTGAAGCTTTAGATAAGATGCATTAAGAAGTGTTGTTCTAGTTTTGAATTGGTATCCAGATGTTCCAGAAACCTACTGAATAAGTAATCTTGAAATGTGTTTTGTGTTTAGAAACTGGCAAGGTATTCACCTGGGGCAGAGCGGACTATGGGCAACTTGGAAGGCACGCAGTGGTTCCCGATGGGCAGGAGGCGTGCATAGCATCTGAACAATGCTTGGAGCTGTTGTGTAACATCCCTATTTCAGTGCCTTGCCTAAATGGAGCATCTCAGGTAAAGAAGAAAATTAGCATTTTTTCCCAGGTTTGGGTTTTTTTTTTGGGGTGCATTAAAATAATCAGAACAATTTCGTAATAGAACCTTTTCAAATGCTGCAGCCCAAGCCCTTGCTGCTCTTCCTGTAAGCACAGAAGTTAATACGATTCAATTATTTAAAATGTCTTAAAAGGCTTTTGTATTCAGAAACTGATTTTTCCTTGGTGGAACCAGAGTTACCATTAGCAGAAGATGCCAAGTTCTCTCAGATATCAATGTGTGCAGGAGACAGTTGCACCTGGAATACAGCCTAGCAGATGAGCCGGGACCCTCCGCAGTTGCAGTGCTGCTTTTGTCTGAAGCGCTCTGTAACAGTTTAGCCAATGGCCTTTCTTTGGCTGATAAATAATAATGGTGCAGCTTCTAGAATCTTTCTCTACCTTATAACATCCTTGAGTCATACTGGAGGCTTTCTTTTCATATGGCTAATTTGATACAAAATGATTTATCCTCAAGCATAAAGATGATCAGAAAGAAAACTACTCAAGTTTTTTTCTGTAGTCTGACACACATGCAACCTGTACTGCCTACAAACCATTTTCTTGGCTTTTTAGTAGCTGAGAGGCAGCATTTGGCAATTGGCCTGTTGGCGGGCAATGTGCAGGTCTCATCTGGGCAGATAACCAGTCAAAAGTTATGCATCTCCCTGTGGGGTAGCTGGCAGTCAAAATGCAAGGGGAAAGTACAGGTTGACAGCTTCAGCTGCAATGTGTGTACTGCATCTCCGCCTCCTGGTAGTCTCCCATGGTGAGACTTTGGTTAGAAGAGTCAGCCTCTGCCCTTCCCCATCATCAGTGTTCTGTGAATGTGTGCACTCACAGATGTGAAGTGGAGCTTCAGAGCCTAGGATGCTGCAGTAATGAATAATTTGTTTAGTCAGTGTTGACACCACTGAGTCTCAAACAACTTTCTTACTCTTTTTGAGATGGGTGTCCCTGCTTTTGTCACTAAATATCCATAGAGAACACCATTGTTGAATCTGTTGCATGCTGTTTTTCATTTGTGCTTTGGGCAATGCCTCAAGCATGTAGTTCTGTTGGTTCTCGTACAATACAAAGCCAAGGCAGCCATAGCTTTTGTGCAGGGGAACTTAGGCTTGACAGGATGAGTGATCTATGAAGATGAAGGAAAGGGATGTGTTCAGATATATTCATTGAAAAGGAGGAGAAAAACAATCTCACCTTCATTCTGCTGCCCTCAGCACTCTTCCTTCTTATAGACCTATGAGAGACCTGATTTGAGTGATTAGCAATGGCAGTGTTCTGGAGCAGGCATCGTTCTTTGCAGAGCTAACAGCACGAAGATGATTTAAGAAGAGCGTGATCAAGAGCTAGCCTCATTTGTACCCTAAGAGGAGCTGTGTTGATGAGAAAAGGAAAAAGCAGAAAATAGCCTAAATTGCTTCACTTCAACATTACAAAATAATGCCAGAGCTAGAATTTATACTTAAAAATGCATTAAATTGCAGTATGTAGGCTATGTAGAGTTTGAGCTGGTTTTCGTTTACATACAAGCTATCCCTTTTTCCATTTGTTGTATGGAGACGAGGTTTGATTTGAGCGCTGAATTAAAAGGAGTACAGAGAAGATGAGTTCTTTTCCATGTTTACCTTGAATTAACAATTCCAATTTGCGTGTTTAATGCAGAGAGCCAGTTTAACAGCTGAGGATTACAACCAATGATTTTTATCCACTGTCTATTTTTATAAATCACTTTTAATGATTCAGCTGAATTTTTGGCAACGTTGTGGTCTGCTGATGGCCTCTGCACTTCAGTTAATATTGTTAAAACCAAAATGGAGAAACTAATCTAAGGATTAGAGGACGGTATAAAAGGCATGCTAGTTTACCTCAAGGACAGTGCAGTAGATTTAACCTCCTGTGCTGCTCCTTGTCTCCATGCCCATGGTTTACCTGCTTTCTCCACCAAAGACCAGGGATTCTCCTTTCTTTGTGCTGAAATTGATATAATGTCTGTGTCTGTCTACCACTCCAAAACCTGATTTTTGAAGTGTTGTGAGTGACCTATTCCATTGTGAGTTTGACTTCATTTGACAAACTCTTCTGGAAGCATTGACCTTGAGAAGTACGAGCGCTTTTATCTTTCAACTGAAACAATGGAAGAACAAAAGCCTGAGTTTTAGATAATTATCTACTAATCTGAGTATGTCTTCCTGGCAGCTTTAAAAGGGTGTGTGGACATCAGGTTCCTGGAGTCTCATGTGCTTAAACTTTTTGAATTATGTGACTGCAGGTCTACTTACTATTTTCTTCTCAGTGCCACCATGGAATGGGATGAGGTGCTGAAAAGAATTTTCAGGCTACAGCTGAAGTCAGTTGTGCGAGACATTATGCATGCAGTGCTCTTGCGTTGTGGGGCGTCCTTGATTGGACCTCTTCAGAACATCTGACTCATCTGCTGCCTGATGTGCATTCATATCCACTGCTCTTCAGATGAAAGCACAATTAAATACAAATGGCCTGAAATACGATAAGCCTCTGTATTTAGCAAATGCTACAAAGACCTAGTTTAATGTTTCCTCCTTGTCAAAATGCTTTTCCAGTCCGTTTGATATTTTTGTTTTTAATAGCTATCGTTTTATTGTTTTTGGTATGTTCAGCATGTCATTCACATTGCAGCAAACATTTGCTGCATCAATAAACAAGTGAGAAGTCATTGTGCAGGGCTGAACGTTCTTGCTAAACCCCATGCAGCGCTACAGGCTTGGGGAAGAGTGGCTGGAAAGCTGCCTGGCGGAAAAGGACCTGGGGGTGTTGGTCGACAGCCGGCTGAACATGAGCCGGCAGTGTGCCCAGGCGGCCAAGAAGGCCAACGTTGGCCAAGAAGGCCAACGGCATCCTGGCCTGTATCAGAAATAGTGTGGCCAGCAGGAGCAGGGAAGTGATCGTGCCCCTGTACTCGGCACTGGTGAGGCCGCACCTCGAATACTGTGTTCAGTTTTGGGCCCCTCACTACAAGAAGGATGTTGAGATGTTGGAACATGTCCAGAGAAGGGCAACGAGGCTGGTGAGGGGTCTGGAGAACAAGTCTTATGAGGAGCGGCTGAGGGAGCTGGGGTTGTTTAGCCTGGAGAAAAGGAGGCTGAGGGGAGACCTCATTGCTCTCTACAACTACCTGAAAGGAGGTTGTAGCGAGGTGGGTGTTGGTCTCTTCTCCCAAGTAACTGGCGAAAGGACGAGAGGAAATGGCCTCAAGTTGCGCCAGGGGAGGTTTAGATTGGACGTAAGGAAAAATTTCTTTACTGAAAGAGTGGTTAAACATTGGACCAGGCTGCCCAGGGAAGTGGTTGAGTCACCATCCCTGGAAGTATTTAAAAGATGTGTAGATGAGGCGCTTAGGGACATGGTTTAGTGGGCCTGGGGGTGTTGGGTTGACGGTTGGACTCGATGATCTCAGAGGTCTTTTCCAACCTTAATGATTCTATGATTCTAAACTGGGTGGAAGGAAGGGCTACAGTCAATTTGGATATGCAGCACTGTTCACGTGGAGCCATGTTTTCATCATATCCTTTCTCTAATTAAAGCAAGCTATGCTAGATTACAGTTTTCTGAGGAGGGAGATCTGAAATTTCAGTTAAGAAATTAGAAAAAATTCTGTGTCACACTGTCACTTTTGGGTATGTGTTTTCTTGGGCTTAATTCCCTCCTTAGTTTTACCATCACCCAACTTAAATCTTGATGGTGGATGTAGGGGCCAGTTGTGTCAGGGAATGAAAATAACTGATGGACTTGTGGCAACCTGTACCTGCTGTGTTTATCTTGATCCTACTATGGTCCATAATTCCAGTGTGTATGTTTGTCCCAGTGTGTGTACATTTGTCCTGTGCAATACAGATTGGTTTGAATCCTCTGTATGATTCCTTTCTTCAGGGAATGCCATCATGAATACAGACATTCTCATGGTTCTTTGCAGTCAAAGTTTATTGCCACTCTTTTCAGTGGCAGTTGCAGTAATGAGTCATTTTTGTTTAATTTAAGTATTTAAGATAGCTTTGTCTTTAGTATATTCTTGTTTTTTCCCTTTTTCCCCCATTCATGTTGCAAAATATTAAGCATCTACCTACAACACAATTCTAAGATATCTGCTATAATGGTAATTCATTAGTTGATTATTATATGACTGATAGGTTAATGTATAAACATCGTTACTACCTTAACATATGGACACAATAATATTGAAAATGGAACCTTTTGGTTTACAAAAAATGACAACTGTGTGTGTATTTTTTGACTTCTCGGGGAAAATTGTTAGAGGCCTCTCTAAGTAAAGCTGTAGTTGAGACTTTAAAGGGTATTAAATAACCTGATAGTGTTACATATACATCATCTCTGTGCTGTGTGCATGGCTTTTTTTATACTTAGTTGTTTGGGTACTGTAAATATTTGTGGCTATGTTCTTTATTTTGAATGGTTAAAACAAGAGGTTTATATTTTTGTGGGAGAGAAACAACAAATTGAACTTTCCTAAACCAGATTTTACTGCTCAGAGTTTGAGAATGTATGTGTAGTAACTGATCCAATAAACTGCTTAAAAAAACCTTGGGTATTAGGGAAGGAGGTAAATGCAAAAAAGTCTCTCTAGTTTTTCGAGCTCATTAACTTTTAGATAATCCAAGGATATAGTTTGATAGAAGTGTTGTGAAAAACAGTTTCAGTAAACTCTGTTCCTTGTTCTTTGATTTGCCAGCTTGCCTCAAAGCTCCTAACTGTGCCACAGAAACAGATGTGGGCCCTGGAAAAATTCATAGTAAAACGTGGTTCTTACTTGGCAATACTCATAGCTAATAATGAAAACAAGCAGGGGATGGGAGTGGAAATAGAGAAATGACTCAAGGGCAAGTCAGCTGGAAAGCTGAGAAGAGAACCTAGGTGGTACATATTCCACTCCAGCCCTTTACTCATTAAGCTTTCTCTCTTGTGATACCACTAGAAGGGAAA